TATCGTCCGGTTCATCAAACAAAATCTCATATGTCGGTACGGTATCCCAGAGAGGATCTTCACTGACAACGGTACGAATCTCAACAACACTATGATCACCGCACTGTGTGTGCAATTTAAGATCCAGCACCATAATTCTTCCCCTTACCGGCCAAAGATGAATGGTGTTGTCGAAGCCGCAAATAAGAACATCAAAAAGATCATACAGAAAATGACAGTCACATACAAAGACTGGTATGAGATGCTACCATTCACTCTCCACAGTTATCATACCACGGCACGCACATCAACTGGGGCAACACCTTACTCTTTGGTATACGACATGGAGGCTGTCTTGCCTATTGAGGTTCAGATCCCCTCTCTGAGAATTATGAAGGATGCAGGGTTGAATGAAGACGATTGGATCCAAACTCGACTTGATCAACTGAACTTGATTGATGAGAAGGTTTTTTGTTCATTAGATATTCGTCGTGCGAATTTCTCTGCTGTTTGAACAAATAGTCATATGCAAACAATGTTATTTTAAGAATGCAAAGCTTATGTCTGTCTTGAAATTTTTGAAAATGCATTTTTTCAGTAAGATAGGAAAATTTTGTAAAATGTGACGTCAACTCAGGATTTACAGCAAGCCCTACAGGAGTCAGGATACCTTTTTGTTGACAGTACGCTTTTGAACTAACCCATGCTTCAGCTAGGACTTTTAAGCGTTATAACGTGGCCTGGTTCACGGTTTCAAGAAACAAAGGATAAAGGCTCAAATTTTATTTGTACCCACCCGTTCTTCGTGATGTTCTTCGATCCTAAACTCAACTAATTGTGCATTTAGATCCCGTTTGAGTCTTTGCTCTGATATTCCAGTGATGGTTCGGATACTGACAATTTATTTTAAACAGGAAGTCATTTTTGTTGAGAGTTTGTAGGATCTCTTTCTTTTTGATTTTATTATCCCTTTCTTTTGCCTGAACTGTTTCTTTTGTGATTACAGTCAGCGGGATGCCCCAGTTTTGTAAGTCTCCTTCATAGGTTTTGACTTAATGGACTTTTATTTCTGAGAGATAATGACTGCTTGTCCTGACGATTATAAGGAACCATCACCATCTTTTATTTTGGAAGGACCTCTTTGATGCCATTCATTGTGCACCCGAATTAACTAAGGAACTACCCTGCCCCAGGTTGTGATTAAGGGTTTTAATTTGTGTGAAAATAAAAACTCCAACTTCTTTGGCTCAAAGGGGTTGACTAGGGATTATCTTCCTTATAACTCCACTATTTAGGATTTGAAACAACGCCTGTACATCATCAGCGGGGTCTGTTCAAAAGCATACTGTAGAGATTTTGATATCATTTTCGTCATCCTCCCTCTAAAGGCTTAGAGTTTTTTTAATCAAGAGTTGAACATCACAAAAATGAAATCAATTTGAATATAGTGAACACGATTGGATTGATTCAAAACAGACATATGCAATGCATTGATAAAGTAACAAAGTTTGACATGAATAAATGTTTGAACAATCAAAAGAAAATTACAAATTGAAAATTCTAATGAACAAAAGTCTTCTTGTCTCAGGACTTGTCACTTCAAATGGTGAACCTTGGAGGGATGGCAAAAGAATTCAATATGAGCGTCTTGTGTTAGTTCCAAAGCTCCCTCATCAATCAGGTCTTGGATTTTATTTCTCAATGCCCAACAGTCGTTGGTGTCATGTCCAGGGCTGTTGGAATGGTATGCACACCTAGCATCAGGATTGTACCTTGGGGAGGCTATGTGGGGATTCCGAGGAGGGTCCCTTAACGTAACCAGATTCAATCTCAACAGGTGTTGTAAAGCGTGAGACAGCGGCATGTTGAGCTTGGTAAACTGCCTCTTGGGTGTACCCGACTTACTCTGATTAACCCGTTGTTTTTAACGAGGTTGTTGTTGGACCCGTGAGGTAGTAGCAACTTGGAGAGGCATATTCTTTACCAAACCAACCTTTTGTCTTCTTGAAAGCTGATCAGTGACTTAGCCTCCGGCCCCGACTGTTTGCTTCATGATGTCGTATCGGTCTTGATGAAGCTGGTTGATAATGATTCTCAACTCTTCTTGTTCCTGGGATAGGCCTTGGATAAGAGCCATCTGCCCCAGCATCTGGGTTTTCATGGCACCTAACTCAGCTTGCAGATGTTTTAGCCATTCGTCCTTATTGTCTTCAGGACTCTTCTTGACCAAGTTCCCAACAAGGAGTGTTTTCAACTCTTCTTGTCCCTTGGATAGGTTTAGGAATACGTCCCTGAACTGAGGTTCTTGAGTTTGAAGATCTCGGTTGTCTTGTTGGAGAGCCATTGCTGAAATAAACAGCGAGAACATGAGAGACCTGTACTAGGATACCTGTTATGCAATGATATGTATGATATATGTATGCAATGTTTTCAAGGATCTCGCGGGGTAAACAAGAAACTGTTAGATTTTAAATTTTGCAGCTTTAATTGAAGAAACTTTATGTCATCAATAGTCCTTCTTCAAGATTCAAGCTCACCATATCGAGTGGGTCATAGCCCCTGACTCAAGTTATCGTGTTTTGATCTCTAGATGACATTGGCTAGAGGAAAATAAATCCCCTTTGCCCCTTGCTAGATGTTGGATTTACCATAACCCGCATCACAAACCTTTGAGATCCTTGAAATGGTTAAGGAAATGTTAAGGCAGGGAAGCATTTGAGACCATTGGAGCTCAACCATCTTGATGAAAATTGAAACCCTAGTTGGGGGTTCATTTCCTTAGGAGGAGAATTTGTCTGGTCAATTCTTGGTCATCCTTGGGCAAGTTAGGGACCTCACCGGGCTTGTGTTGAAAAAAAAGGGAGGGCAAATTTTGGGGTACAACAGATAAGCATCAAGATATAATAGGGAATGCACTAATTAAGTTAGGTGACCCTCACCAGGTCATTTACTCCAACAGTTGTGGTACCTACAAAAACTGATGTAATGACCAGTTCTAAGCCTGTTCAGTGGTATCTCGTGCTGAACTTGGTAGGGCAAACTATGGTTAGATCCCCCGAGACTTATAATCTAGTAAAGAAAAAGGGTTATCAACTTGAGTACCATAAACCCGTGCATAAGAGACCATAATCGTTAACCGACTACTCTACTATGTGTGTGCGAAAGATAAAAGGCTTAATGTGATTGCGCTAGAATGAAAGTGGTTGATTTCGAACGAAAAGAATTAGGTTGATCTATGATAGCATAATTCAGACTAGTTTGCATAGGATGGAGGATTTTGACCATGTCATATGGTTTTGTGTCATTTCTATATCATTAGTGTCGGAACCTAGTTCCATCTTTCTAATGTAATGCCCCTCAACCACGTACGATTCGAGTTGTATCATGCGAGTGTGTCGGAAACCGTGCGTTAAATGTTTCTTTTTCTCTATTATTTGCTTGAGGACAAGCAAAGGTTCAAGTGTATGGGAGTTTGGTAAACCAGAAATATATCGAATATTTGGATCAATTTACATGAATTTTATCCGCATTTTAATTAATTAAATTACTCTTTATTCGTATTATTCTGGTATTTTCTATGTTTTCAGGAATTTAATGTTTGTAAGGCATGTGCAGAGAAAGTCAAGAAAAGTCGAGCTAATCATATTTAAAATCCGCATAAAGAAAGAGAAATTATGCAATTGAGGGGTGTGTACCAAAAATGGGCGCATTACAAGTAAAAGCCTTGGAAGACCAAAAGAAGAAATACATGTTGGGCCCAATCCACCCAAAGTCCAAGGGGTGTAACGATCGTTACACGTCACCCAACCCTGGTGTAACGACCATTACACCATGTCAAGCAAGCCTCTCCTCAAAAGTAGGGGGTGTAATGACCGTTACACCATGCTAAGCAAACCTATCCTCAAAAGTAGGGGGTGTAACGACCGTTACACCTTGCAGCCAGTCCCTCCTCAAAAGAAGGAGTGTAACGACCGTTACACTGAGTGTTTCAATCCGTATCGGTTGCTACGGAGGAAAATCCAGAGGAGAAAATATCTCAACTCCCTGCACATCTCCAAGCCTATAAATAATACCTCAAATTCTCATTTTTAGACACATTTCCTTTTCTCTGTTTTTATTGTTACTCTGCCGAATATTTCCTACATTATTTCTTTCCGCATTATTTCTTTCCGCATTATTTCTTTCCGCATTATTTTATTTACCGATCTGTGGGAGACATCTGATATCAGCCAAATATTCTGCCATAATATTTTCAGGTTTAATTTAAGTGCTTTATTTATTTATGCCATGATTGTCTGAAATGTTTAGTTTATTTAAATTGTTTAATGGTAGTTATTTTTGTTGCGATGTTACTGAATTGTTTAACATGCTAGGCTAAATTTATTTACCGGTATGCAAGGTCATATAGCCAACGGGGTTTAGCAACGCCAATTGATTAGTTCCTTTTAAAAAAAGAATAATTTTCTGGTTTCAATTATCACTTCTAAATATTAATTGTTTTGTTACGAGAGTTAAATAAGGATAGAAGTTAGGATTAATAAAACGAGAGTTTGAGATAATAACTGGACAGTGGTGATTGTGCATCAACTTAAAATACAGCGAGAGCGCTTTTAAGTTTATTAGGTTTTGTTTGTTTCCAAAAACTATTTTAAAACTCTAATTGAAACAGCGAGAGCGCTCACTTAGGTTTGATCGTAGAATCCGAATCAATAAACACGAGAGTGTGAGAAGAGGGTTTTCAAACAAATACTTCCTACTAAAAACTATTTTATTAATCCGAGTTAGGTCAATGAGTTTCTAAATCCTCGAAGTCCGACCATTACATACTGATATTCTCCCTTGAATCTAAACTAGATTATAATCAGTTAGGTTCCCTAAACCCCCTATTAATTACATTATTAGCCTTAAATTTACGCAGTAACCTAAGATAACGGTAGTTCGACATTTATTCCCTTGGGATTTGATAATCTGTAAACTACACACGATAGGAATATATACTTGCAGTCTAGATTCTTTAAGACTCACAAAGTCGCGATCATCTGGCCCGAAACTCTCTGGTGTTTGGCAAGGATCTCAAGAACTTTCTCACATTCCTTAGGGCTAGCTCTAGAGAACAGAATGTTGTCATCCGTAAAGAATAAATGAGATATACATGGCGCTCTTCTAGCTACACGAATATCGTGTATGGTTTGGTTACCAGCAGCCTCCTTAATCAGACCAGAAAAGACATCTGCACATAAAATAAACAGGTAAGGTGATAAAGGATCTCCTTGACAGAGTCCTCTTTCTGGATTAAAAGAGTGACTAGGACTCCCGTTGAAAAGGATTTGGAACGACACTGAAGAAATGTCGGAATAGATTAGATTAACAAAATTCTCCAAGAATCCCATAGAATCTAGAACTCCAACCACAAAGTTCCACTATAATCTATCAAAATCTTTTTCCATATCCAGCTTAAGAGCCATCACGCCTTTCCCTCCCTTCTTCTTCTTCTTCATCCAGTGAAATCACTCCATCACTACTAAAGCATTGTCTATTATTAAATGCCCTTTCACAAAGGCGCTCTGCTCCTCATCAATAATTTTGGGCATAAACGCTTTCGGCATGTTTGCAATCGATTTCGACACAATCTTCATCACTACATTGCACAAACTAATTGGTCTAAACTCTTTAAGAGACTTTGGGTTTTTGAATTTAGGGATGAGAACTATGAAGGTTTTATTCATCTCCTCTAGATCTTGCTTATCACTAAGGACAACCAGAACCATCTTCTTCACATCTTCCCCCACCACATGCCAATACTTTTGAAAGAAGAGGCTAGAAAGCCCATCCGGTTCAGGGGCTGTCAAGGGGTGCATTTGGAAAAGCGCTTCTTCAACTTTTGTCTCCGTAAATTCTCTCCCGCAACATTCCTTGTTATCCAAACTGAGTTTATCTTTCACAACGAGACATGTTTCCATAATGCCACTCGGGTTTGAGGTCGAGAAAATATCTTTGAAATACTTGGTAAGAATTCTCTCATAATGCATTCTCCCCATCCACCACCGACCATCATCATCCTTTAGTTTTCTAATTCTATTCACCCTTCTTCTTTGATCCGCTTTCCCATGGAAGAATTTAGTGTTTTTGTCACCTTCCTGTAACCATAGGGCCCTACTGCGTTGCCTCCACATGATCCCTTCTACCTTCAGGAGTTTATACCTTTGGCTCTCAATAGATTTTTACTTCCTTACATTGTCCTCACTACTGTCCCAGTTAGCATCCTCCTTCCGCATCTCTTCAATTCGGATGAGGTATTTTCAAATGTTACCTCACCTATACTCCTTGAATTCCTCTGTAATTCTCGACAAAACATAACTTTTTGTAGCCAGTAAGTCACTCCCCCTCCAGTTCTGTTCCACCAAACATTCACATCTTTCATCCCTCGCCCATATATCCTCGAACCTGAAGATATGTTTGTTTTTGTTTTCTTCTTCACTTAATTCACTCTCTAACATAACTGTAATCGCCGCATGATCTGATCGAAAACACGAAAGGTGTGACACCTTGATAGGGTGGAATCTCGAAACACAAGCCTCATTATCAAAAGATCTATCAAATCTACATTGAATATTATTCTGCCCCTTGCGCCCATTTGTCCATGTAAATTGGTATTCGTCGAACCCTAAGTCTTATAAACCACAATCAGCCACAGTCCCCCTGCCCCAGTTCAGTTGGCTTGCAGTTATGCTAATCCCCCTTATTCTCATTCTCCTCCATGATATCATTATAATCTCTAACACACAACCATTTCATATTGATGTTCACCTTCATTCCTTTCAACAACTGCCATATCTTTCTTTTGTTACCATCCTCCCGAAAGCCATACAACCTTGTTAACATCCATGGAACTTCTCCTTCATCACCAATGATCTCCACATTTCTATGGTTGTTAGAGTAATTTATGACTGTTATCTTTAAATAATCCCTCCACATCATCGCCATACCTCCTGCATGCACCCTCCCTTCTCCACGAAACCCCACTGCGAACACATGATCAAAGCCACAATTCTGCTTAACTATACCAAACTCGTGCTCCTTGAGACGAAATTCCATCACAAAGATAAGAGAGGGATTTTCTTTTCGGGTGAGCCTTGACAAGGCTCGAACTGCTCGAGGATTCCTCAAACCCCTGCAGTTCCAGCTTACGAGTTTCATTGTTGCAGGCGGTGTTGGGTTTCCAACACCACCTCTGGTTTCATTTTGTTTACATCTTCCTCAGTCATACTTTGTTTCTGCTTCTTCTCCCTACTGTCGCAATCCTTATTGGAGCCTTTCGTAACCAATACATTTATCAACTGCCTTTTAGTCCCTTCTACAGATCTCCCTCCTCCTTTGTTGACTGCCCCCACCTTCTTCTGGATGCCTCTCTTTCTAGTCCATTTCTTCCTATTGATGCCTGAATTTCTTCCTACCGTCTCTGTTGTTAACGCCATTGCTCCTAATGATTCTACCACCTTTTCAATTTCGAGTGTACCCCCATTCTCTGCTAACTGCATTCCTCTTATACCTCATTTGACCATTCACCTTGCTTTTGTTATTGAACTTCTGGTTCTTCAGTTCTCTCCTTTGCATTTGATTCAAACCTGCTTTTCCCATACGAAGAATTAAATATGCTTTTACTGCAATTTCTAGAGCTAGTATCCATTTTCTTCTGGTCTTCAACAATCTTTGGAATAGGTGAGGCTCATAGCCACTGACCAAACGCAAGATATTGTTCTTCAATTTCTTAGAATCCTTCTTCATTCAGCTCTTCTAGAGTTCACAATCCTTCAACTGGTGCCCAATTCGACCGCAAGCAAAACAAAAGGTAGGTATCCTCTCGTATTTAAAATGGACTCTCAGATTTGTTTTCTTTAAATTTCACCATTGTTCCTCTCCTAAGGGGTTTCTTCAGATCCATCTTCACTTTTATTCTAAGAAATCTACCATTTCAGTGGCCTTCTTTCTGGTCCATATCCTTAAACTCTCCAATAATGTTTCCCAATTTGCTCGCCATCGCTTTAGATTTTAGCATTAGAGGAAGCTCATATATTATGACCCAGAAAGTACCAAAATTCATGTTTAACTCTGAGGGCTTTTCTTCTCCTGATATCCTTTCCAGAATCAACAAAGCTCTGTCAAAACTCAAAGGTCCGCTCTTCAAGATATACTCCATATCCCTTTTCGTAGAAAACTTGAAAAGGAATAGGTTTTTGCTCAGATCTTATATCTCCACATAATTCTTCAACTTCCAAGCATTCAACATTGCACTTTTGAAAGCTCGAGCATTAAAGCTAATCTCTATCCATAGTTTCCCGACAAGGGTCCGTTGAAAGGACTCCTCCTTGCAAACTTCCTCTGGCTCCGCTATAATCCCTTCCTCTTCCTCCTCTGAAAATTTGATGTTCTTCCATCTATCCATTCGATCTAATTTCCAGTTCAGACAACCGATAAGCTAAATGAAAAGAAAAAATCAAGGTAACACGCGATTATCAGAAACCCACAAAAAATGGGGAAAACCAGAATAACCTGAGAAAAGGACAACCACAAACCCTAGAAAAAGGGAAGGGAGAAAGGGGCTCACGCTAAGTTTAGAGAGAAGGGGGGCATTCTCTCTCTAAACACGTGGAGACCTTGTATATGATTTTAATTGTCCATATGATTCTCAAATTAATTGATATAATAATTAATACTAAATATATTCAAAGTTTACAAGTTCGAAAAATAAAAATTGAATATTCAAATACTTTATAATGATTATATGAAAATATCAGGATACAAATTGATTTTAGAATAATACAAAATATGGAAAATTTACAAAAAAAAATCATTATATCCATAACAATGAACGGTAAGTGTTTTTTTGATACGGTGGCAGAACCGACTGTTAATACTGGTTTTGCATTTTTTTTCCGCAAATGTCCCGGTAAGCAAGAGTCGCCACCGAATTTTCTTTTATCCAAATTAAGGAAAGGGTGAAAAGAACAAAAAATACCTTTTTGACAATTTTCTGAGTCAGGGGGTAGATTATGGAAAAGGAAGGTGTTAGCACCCTTTCCATCCATAGTTATCTACGGGCTCTTATATTCTTAGCTTATTTTAAAAGTACCTTGTGCTTTGTGTGTTTTGAAAAATGTTTTGAAATGCCTTAGTGAGGAGATTCGCTTTGTGATAACTCTTGTATCAGTCCTCAAGAGTGTTGACAAAGCAAATGTTTTTTAAAGTTGTTTTTGAAATGTGTAAGTGTGAAAAGTTTGTTTTGAGCATAACATCTAACAACTATCTATTTGTACTCGAAAAAGGTCTGTTCTTTTCCTCCTATCCTTTAGACAGTGCTATCCTACTATTAGTGAGTAGGTAGCCTTAGTCGTTGGATGTTTGAGGGACATTCGAAGGGACATTACAGTCACGAATGCAACTTGGCAAGGAATTTTAGTAACTGTCTTAAAGTTCTAAGATCACTTTTTTACCAAGGCAACATCGAGAGGGTCATTGAGGGACTTGTGATCTTTCAAACTAGAGGACAATCACTAAAACTTCTCATGTTTCGAGAATTGTGACTGTTTTCTGAAGGCAACCGAAGTGGGATATCCTAGAGGTGTGCATGTGCAATCGTGTTTAGTTCAGCTATTTATCTTGCACATTTAGGTTTGCTAATGTTTTAATTTTTTAGTCTTGTTATGCAATCCTAGTTACTAGCAGTTAATATGTACAAAAAAATGTAAAGTACGGAAATATAACCCTACGCTATTACATGGCTTCGGGGAGGGGGATATTTACAATATACAAAACTTGGGGGAAGAAAAATAAAGAAAGCAATAAAAATCCTAATTAGTCTATTACATCCAGTATACAGGTACAATAATATAAAAATGCGAGAATAAATAACGCGCGAAAGATAAAGACGTCTAAAGCCTAAAGCAAATCTAAATGAAATAAGAAAATCTTTTTTATTTTTGTTTATTTATTTAAATAAAATAATTAAATATAAGATTAAATTTAATTAAAAAGAAGTAAGTATTAATGGAAAATTATTCTAGGTTACAAAAGAAACTAACCCTAATGTATTTTTGTATTTTTTTTTGCTTAAGAAAGTATTGAAATCTAAATTAAATCCTAAGTACTAATTTATTTTAATTTTGAGAAAAAAAAGTTAAAGTTAATTAATTAATTAATTTAAAAAGTTAAAATTAAGCCTAAGTCTAATTATTATTACTATTAATTTTATATTATTATAAAAAAAAGGATTAAGAGAAAGTAAATAATAAAACCAAATAAAATAAAATAAAAGAGAAAATTGGACCTGATGGTAAGAAAAAAAATGGGGGGTGCTGGTTTGAATTCGCTGGGCCCATGAATCAATAAGCCCACGGTCTTGCATAATCAGGTGCATGTCAACTTTGTGGTCATAGGGTGAAGGCGCACTCTGGGCTGACTAGATCTTCTTGCATCACATCTGATGGCCCAGATATAGAGTCTATGGTATGCATAGGAACCTGCGCTGGATCTTAAAAGAAAATATGAGAGAAATGAAAAACCTAGGGATCAAACCCAGGTTTATAAGCTTCATACATGCACGTTTTACCACTAGGCCAAGTTTGTTCGTTAGTATAACTGAACCAATAACATTATATGTGAAAACTATTCAGAAAAATTAAAACGCGTGCGCTGAGTGGCCCCTGTCATTTTAAATAGATGAATCACAACACGAGATTCAACCACGCTAGCACAGGGGGGTCAAACCACCATACACGGTGGTTGAACTCCTTCTTCTCCAGCCAGCCAAAACCGTCATCTGCAAAACACGATGAATTGAAAAGAAAAAAAATCATAGTCCCCCTAATTAGGGGGCTGCGAGTTCAATGGAAGCATTTGTTTGTCCTAAAACTCATGGTATCACTCAGTTTGGAACTCAACTGTTTTGGAACCCTAACAATGGTGCTTTTCCATCCCTGCATCAAATCTCAAAAACAATACGTCAAATATGTTCTAAACCATCATGCTACATGATTTATGCAAACAAAATGAATTAACAACGCCTAGATTTAAGGGTTCGATTGAGAAATTTTTTGCCGATTGGTGAGATGGAGATATGGGGTTCTGAATCGTTTCAGGCTCGTATGAGAGTTGGATGTGACTCCTTGGACTCTCA